ACGTCACTCTGCCGCTGACGTCACTCTGTCCCATGCATCACCAATGTCCCCTACGTGTCACTCCTTGTCCCACATATCACTCTGCTCCGCTTGACGTCACTCTGTCCACACACGTCACTCTGTCCCCACGTGTCACTCTGTTCTCAAGCGTCACTCTGCCCCTCTTGACGTCACTCTGCCCGCTTGACGTCACTCTGCTCCGCATGACGTCACTCTGCCCCGCATAACGTCACTTTGCCCCGCATGACGTCACTCTGCCGTCACTCTGCCCCGCCTGACGTCACTCTGTCCCCACACGTCACTCTGTTCGCCCAGCACGTCACTGCTGTCCCCACACGTTCACTCTGTTCGCCACGCGCTCACTTCTGTCCCCACACATACTGCTTTGTCCCACACGTCACATCTGTTCCCACCACGTCCACTCTGTTCCCACACGTTCACTTGCTGTTCCCATGCGGTCACTCGGTGCGTCTCCACTCGTCACTTCTGCTCCCCACACGTCACTCTGCCCACACGTCAACTCTTGTCCCCACAGAACGTCACGTTCTGGCCCGGCGGCGCAGGGCAGGCGTGCCGCTGCCCACACGGTCAGGCTGGCTGGTTTTGTGATGCCCGGACGGGTCGACTCTGTCGCCCATGCACGAGTCACTCGGGGTGTCCCCGACACGTCACTCTGCTTCCCACACGTCGACTCGTGGTCGCCGACACCGTCACTCTGTCCCCAGCAGCACGTTTAACATCTGTCTCCACGTCGCTCACTCTTGTCCCCACACGTCACTCTGCCCAGCACGTGCACGTCTGCTGCCCACACGTCACTCTTTGCTCCCGCACACGTCACTGCTGCGCCACACGTCCACTCTTCCCCACACGTCATCTCTGTTCCCATGCATCACTTTTTCCTCACGCGCTCACTCTTTGGCCCCACACATCACTCTGTTCCCCACACGTCACTCGTCCCACAGCGTCCACTTCTGCCCGCCACACGGTCACTCTGAAACCCGCCCTGACGTCAGCTCTGTCCCCACGTGTCACTCTGTCCCCACACATCACTGGCCCGCGCTTGACGGTCACTCTTGTCCGACACACGGTCACTCTGTGCCCCACGTGTTCACTCTGTTCTAAAGCGTCACTCTGCTCCCCTTCTTGACGTCTCACTGCTGCCCGCTTGACGTCGACTCTGTCCCCACGTGTTCACTACTGTTCCCCGACGCGTCACTCTGCCCCCACATGACATCACTCTGCCCCGCCTCCTGACCGGTCACTCTGTCCCCGATGCGTCATTCTGGGCCCACCTGACGCTCACTCTGTCGCGCACACGCTCACTCTGTCCCACACGAGATACTCTGTCCCACACGGTCACGTCTGCCATCGCCTGGACGCTCACTCTTGTCCCCACCACGTCAGCTTTGCCCCACACGTCACGCTGCCGTGCCTGCACAGTAACTCGTGTCCACCATGCGTGCAGACCAATGTCCCCATGCGTCACGGTCTGTCCCGCACACGGCTGCACTCCTGTCCCCACGCGTCACTCTGTCTCCACGCCACACTCTGGTCCCACCAGTCACTCTGTCCCATGCGCACTCGTGCTCCCACGCATCACTCTTGTCGCTGTCCTGACGTTCAGCTCTGCCCTGCCTGACGTCACTATGCCTCCGCTGACGTCACTCTTGTCCCGCACACGTCACTCTTTCACCACACGGTCACTCTGTCCCCACACATCACTCTGCTCGCTTGACGTTCACTCTGTTCCCACACACGTCCACTCTGTCCCCCCGTGCTCACTCTGTTCTCAAGCGTCACTCTTGCCCCTCTTGACGGTCACTCTGCGCCGCTTGACGTCACTCTGCCGGCTTGACGTCACTCTGCCCCGCCTACGTCACTCTGTCCCCACACGTCACTCGTGTCCCCACCATCACTCTGGTCCCACACTCCACTCTGTCCGTACGCATCACATCTCTCGGTCCCCAGTGGGCCCGGTCGCTTCACTACGGTGTCCGCCCACCGCATCCACTCCGTGTGCCCTACGCATCACTGCTGTCCCACGGTCACGTCTGTCCCCACGCATCATCTCGTGTCCTCACGCAGTCACTCTGTCCTCACACGTCCAGGTGGGCTACCCTGCTGACGTCACTCTGCGCCCCTGGTCTGACGGTCACTATGCCCCGCCTGAGCGTCACTCCCTGTCCCCACACGTTCGACTCGTCGCCACGCCGTGGCACTCCGTGTCCGCCACATCAGTCCTCTGTCCCCACATCACACT